TGCCAAGAATGTTACGTGTCCTTGGAATCCGGTCCCGAACAATTTGAGAAACGAACAAAGTTTCCAAATCGTATCCCCCGATTCGAAATTCGTAGACATCGTCTCGAAGAAATTTCTACTTTCGGGATATTTCTTAAATCTGTTCCCGACGGAACGTCGAGAGGATCCGGAAAAGTTTGGCGGGCGAGCAATTTTACCGTGGAAACTTAACCGGGAAAGGTTTCCGTTAAGAAAGTAATTAGAATGTTCTAATAACCGAAAGCAATTGCGTCTCCTTGCTTCACCGTCGGCCGGCTAGATACGTTAATTCGAGCCGATTATCATCCCTATAACCGGACAATAATTAAGCAACGCCACGCTCTTGCGAAGTGGTGCGGTTTTGCTCGCATACTAACCTAAATTCATGGGATGTATTTACACCCGCATACTCGCGTGCACGTCTCCAGGTCGTTTCACCGTACTACATCTCGCCCCCACTTCGCGGATTCAATTCCCCTATCTATCCTAGTTGTCCTTTCGATCCTTTAATTATTACACGACTGGTCTATGCTCGAAATCTCCCTTCCCCTTCGATCCAATTTTTTCGAAAATTCTCATTTCTTCCACGATCCACGGATTGTTTTATACGCGAACAATCGATATAAGGAGTTTGGAATTTTTTATCCATTCCGTTCATCGAATAAACGATATTTTCGCGCAACAGGTTTCTCGTCCACTTTCGATTCGCGGTTTTTCGAATATTTGTATTTGAATCTTGAAAGGACGAAATACGACGTATTTATTATTATTTTTTTTCTTTTTTTTAACTTTTAACCCCCACCTATCCCTCTTTATTCCTCGATACTTCGACACTCGTTTTAACAAGAATCTTTCCTATTCGCGGTCGGAAAAATATTTTATATTTTAACGATTCGCTCTTATAGAGTAAACTCGAAGAGGCAAGAGATTTCATATTTTGCTGGGAACCTTCCAACTTTGAGTCGTGTATATAGTTTTCACGAGGAACGAACGCTTCACATTTTAGATGCGAAATATTAAATAAAACGATAAATTTAAATTTATAACCGCGTAATGGATATAATAATTGTAGAGAAAGATTGATGAAATATTTAAAAAAAAAAAATTAGACGAGTTTTAATACGTGCAAAGTTTTTCTAATTAATTAGAATTCGATTATACGATTTATATTTGAAATGTATACGCGAAATGTAGATACAATTCTCTCCGATAGCCATTAAGTAAAGAAATACCGGTTTTAATTCTATTCTATTAAACTATCGGTTATTTGAATCGTTAAGTACAATTAATAGGTAAATCGATCATCGATGAGATCGGGATATCAAAAAGGGGGAATGCCGTTCGGAATGGAAGGACGAGCTATTCGACGAGAAGGTGGCTTTTAATTTAAAAAGATCAGATTAGAAAGAAACGAGTCAGCGACGACGGTATGCTTTTGAAGGGGAACGCGTAAAAGCTGTTTGATCAGAGCGGAGGCTTTATCCGATTCTTTGCGATACTAGTTATCGGTCTCTTCATGATAGCTCGCTAATAAGACGCCCCGGGCAATCGTATCGTGGACCCCGTTACCGAATCGTTACGACGTGTACATTGCATATTCATTCGGGAGCAACTCATCCTCTAATAATTCTACGTAATTAGACGATACGAGATTAAACGAAAATATTTTACATATCTCCCTATTTCCATATATATATAAATTCGTTCGTTTAGTTTTTATGGGTCGGAAATAAATTTTTCTAAATCGTTAACGTTATTTCTAAACGCGAAAATGTTGACAAAAAAAATCAAACGATTCAAAGAAGAAAAAAAAAAAAACAAGGATAAAACAAGAAAAGAATTTCGACAAGCACGTCGACAGAGACCCCTGCGGAGTTGTAAGAAGCGCACTAGAGAATTTTCCTCGATAATCTCGACGAACCATGAAGTTCGTTTCCAAGCTTCGAAGATCGATAATCGGCGAGAGTATTTTCTCTTTAACGGTAACGAGGGGGTGCCACTCAAGGGAGAGACTTCACTTTTCAGCTTCGCCAACCTTCCTACTCTATCGAAAAGAGAGTGCGAAAAATGTTATTGGTTTCGCGTGGGAAAGCGGCTCTTCATAGAAGATCTTTCTCAATGGAGATAAGGATCGTTTCAAAAGAAAGAATCTTTGGAAAAATCGACGATTCGATTATACGAAACGGGGGAGAAGACGATTGAAATTCAACAGAATTTATCCAGTTTTCAATATTAAAATTATCTTCAAGTTTAAGAAGATACGCGAACGCAAATTCGAATTTAGGGATAAATTGTTAGAAAATTAAATCGATGTAGCGTAATTTGTCGAAACGCGCCTCTACAGAGGGAACGAGAATATATATATATAATATAACGCGACGAGAGAAAATGGAACCAAGTAGAAACGTTTTGAAAAAGCGCGGGAAAATGCGCGAGTTCTACGAACGAGTTGGAAAACACGATCGAAGCGTAAAGGTGAAGGAAGAATGGGAAAGGGTATTACCCGTAAGTTGAACTACGTTGGAAGTTGGATCGATGGGGCGGGCGAGCGGCGAAGACGAGAACTGGATCCGGGTGATCCGTCTTCGGTTTAGTATCGGCCAGTTGCCGTTAATCCGAGGTTACATCGCTGCGTAACCCTGCCATGTGTCGATCGAACGAATCCTAGGCGACAGTATACTATACACACGGATATATAGTTGGATATTCCGGAGTATCTGATGGCCATACGGTGAAACGATATCGTGCTCGAGGACGATAGGAGAGTTTGTTCGAGCTCGAGCGTTAAGCCGAAGAGCAACGTCTTGGCGAAGAAACGAGGTGGTGTAGAAGAGGACGGGTAGCGATGGTGTCGGAAGGCGGACTAACGTTACCGCATCCAGAAGCGCCGCGATTTCTCACCCTTATCTTATCTGCCAACCACCGCTTCCCTCTTGCCTCCCTTCCTCCTCCTCCTCCTCCTCCT